ATGAGCCTGACAGGGCGGGAGAAGGACCCTTGGGCTGATGTCAGGTAGCGCCAGCCCAGCCTGTAATGAGGTAGATGTGGAGAGAAATGGCAGCCAGCAGGCGGGTCCCCGGGTTCTTCTGCCCCTGGCGTGGTGGGTGGTGGGTGGTGGGTGGTGGGCTGGATCATCGCCACGGTTCTGAGAGGTTCCGGGACGCATAAAGCGCCTCGTGAGGTCAGTGGACGAATGATGATGTTAGTGGCCTCGTTCGAAAGCGCATACAAAGCCACAACAGGCGCCATGGGCCAGGATTTTCAGGCGGTCTGGGATCTGCAGAGGAAGAGATGAGGGGCAAACAGTGATGTGTGCCGAGATGAGGCTGGGCAACGGTCGGCTGGGCAATGTCGTTATATTGTTCGGATGAATTTGCGGTGCTGCATCGTGATTGTTAAAACAAAAAAAGGACGTTCTGGATACGGATGTGTGCGCGCCTTACCAGTGAACAGGGAGATAGATGCAGGACTAAGGGCGCTTGCTAGGCTAGGCAGATCTACCTCCGCGCCTCGTCCTGCTTCGGTCGGATTTTCACATTGCTCATCTTCTGGTTGAAGGAGGTAGGGGTGTTCCATTTCTCCTATTGGACTGAGGGAACCAGAGCCGACGGCGTTTCTGCGTCTCTTCCTCGGCGAGGCTTTTGCCATCCATCTCCCCTTCTTCGTAGAGTTGTCCTACGGCGGCGAGGTGACGTGGAGAAACAGGCCGTAGCAGCTGGTAGTTACATGGAGGCATGCATGCTGAGAGCTTAAGTCTTAAGTGCAGATGGGGTGAGGCACAGATGGGACATTCCCTTGAGCTCGAGGTGTTGGAATAACGGAGCCACCAAGCTCGAGCTCGTCGGTCGCTGTGGGTTCAGTAGCTTTTACAAGGCTCTTCCTGGATGCAACAGGGGAGGTGTGCACTTCCGCATTGTTCTTGCTGCAGAGAGATTACTGCACTGACCACCTCCTGCCTGCCACTGACCTGCCCAATGGGGGGTCTGTTTCCGGCTGGGGGTGAACAAGTGGCAGCGGTCCTGAAGTGGCATCCTGGCGCAGGGGGTGGGGGTGCTGTTGAGGGGTGCATTTCCCCAGCATGGGGTCTGTGGTGGGAAAAAAAACTCTTCAACAGTCCAAGACCAAAAGTAGTCGAGCTCTGGTTGGCAGGCAAGACGACGGCAAACCTCACCACAGGCACCTAACATTGAGAGATCACCACCTCTCAGCCAAATCTGGACTAACTGACGTATCTTGGTTGCCTCACATACCTCAGCGGCCGTGGTGAGACTTTTCAATCAGCGCAACAAATCTCATCACTACACCTCTCAGACACAACCCAGCCACGTCCACCGTCTCTCATCACGTGAACACCCATCATGTTCGCCGTGCCCGGTTGGTCCGTCTCGGCCGACGCTCTCAAGCCTGAGACGCAGGTCAAGGAGTCGGCTTCCAAACCCAGCAAGCGGAAGAGGGCCGGCGGCGGCGGCGCGAAGCAAGAGGTGACCACGGACAACGTCGCCAACCTGTGGGAGCGTGTCATCGAGGGCAAGCCTGCACCGCAGAGAAAAAAGGCCGACAAGGGCGGCAAGAAGGCGGCTGCCAAGCAAAACGGCAAGCAGGAGAAGGACATCTCTCAGCCGGCATCTAAGCGTCAGAAGGCCGAAGACGGCAACGCCGTTACCAAGGATGAGCCTGAGCGCGACGGCGCGCCGGTAAAGGACGGCCAGGAGCCTCCGAGGAAGAAGACGAAGAAGGAAAAGATGAGAGAGAAGAAAGCTGCTCTCAAGCTGGCGGAAGAGACTCGGAATGCTATGGAGCTGGACAGTGAAAAGCCTGCAGAGGATGCTGAGATGGCCGAAGCCGATGACGTTGAGGAGCCCCAGCAAGAGCCCCAGCTGGATCTCGAGCAGGAACAGCCCGCAACGCAGTCAAAGAAGGACAAGAAGGAAAAGGCCAAGGCCGACAAGGCGGCGAGACCCGAGTCAACGTCGTCAAAGCCGGCTGCCGCGCCGCCTCTTCCCCCAGCCGTTAAGCTCACGCCCCTCCAGGCCTCGATGCGCGCAAAGCTCGTCTCGGCCCGCTTCCGCCACCTCAACGAGACGCTCTACACGCGCCCTTCGGCAGAGGCCCTCTCTCTCTTCACAGACTCACCCGACATGTTCAGCGAGTACCACGAGGGCTTCCGCCGCCAGGTGGAGGTCTGGCCCGAGAACCCGGTGGACGGCTACATCGCCGACATCAAGGCCCGCGCCAAGGCCCGCTACCCGGACCGCAACAGCCGCAAGCCCGCGCCCGTGCCTGCGCCGGATGCCGTCATCCCCCTGCCTCGCAACTTCAACGGCACCGCCACCATTGCCGACCTCGGCTGCGGCGACGCCCGCCTCGCCGAGACCCTCCAGCCCCTCGCACGCAAGCTCCATCTTGCCATCCACAGCTACGACCTCCACAGCCCGAGCCCACACGTCACACGTGCCGATATTGCCAACCTCCCTCTGGCGGACGGCGCCGCCGACGTCGCCATCTTCTGTCTGGCGCTCATGGGAACGAACTGGCTCGACTTCATCGAGGAGGCCTATCGCATCCTCCGCTGGAAGGGCGAGCTTTGGGTCGCTGAGATCAAGTCCCGCTTCGGGCCCGCTGCGCGACATGCCGGTGCCAAGGGACGGTCTGGCGGCGGTGTTGTCGAGCACAGCGTTGGGAACAGGAAGAAGACAGAAAAGGTCGGCAAGAAGGACAAGGCCGAGATCGCTAGTGCCCAGGCTGCCGCCGACGGCGAGGAGCTGGCTGTCGAGGTTGACGGCAATGATGACAAACGGGGCGAGACGGACGTCTCGGCCTTTGTCGAGGCACTGCAAAAGCGGGGATTCGTTCTGCAGGGCAAGGCTGACCTGTCGAACAAGATGTTCGTTCGGATGCGATTCACCAAGGGAATGGCACCAGTGAAGGGCAAGTGTGTGGAGAAGACGCCGAAAGAGGTCGTCGAGAAGCAGAAGAAGCAGAAACGCTTCCAGTGGGAGAACAAAGAGATCGAGGAGGAGGTGGATGAGTCGCCTATCCTTAAGCCTTGCGTTTACAAGCTGCGGTAAACATAGACGGATACCCAACGACTCGGCATGCATATGGGGGGCCTTCTGAGACTGTACATAGACACGAGGGAACTTGGTGTGGCACCACGGAAAAGCACAGTAGACCATGTACGCGCTTTCGAGAAGCGACGATATTCTTTTCATCAGTCCCGTTCGCTACTACAGTGTCTCGCGGTCCAGGCAAGTGGCTGTGTCCGTTCCGTCTTTTCATCGTGAGAGGAGTCGTTGGTGCAACGTCTAAAAGGTAAGTGCTCCATTACACACCGCTAAGTTTTTGTCTTGCCTCGGATATGCTTCATCCATCTATTATTTCTTGTCCGCAATTGCCACCACTTTTAGCGCTGATTCTCGAAGAGAAGTCCCGCCGCATACTCGACGTTGTTTCCCGTTGCCTGGAGCCGCGGCGATTGCAGGCCCACGTTCGAATCC